AGGCCTTTTTTGGTGCCAGGTATCATGTTTTGACTGTAAGAATAGAGTTGCATAGAGTATGGTGCTTTTTAGGAGTTCACAGTTAAATCTATAAGACGCACATACACAGAGATAAGTGTAATACCGCATGACTAGTGCTACTGTTCAGGTGTGTGAAAAGTGCTATGGGAACACAAAGGAGAGAGCGATTATCTTTTCCTGGAGAGCATCTGGAAAAGGAAATTAATTTGAGCTCAACCTTAAAGGATGAGAACTATTTCTTAATATAAAGTTAAAGGATAGGGAAATGGTATCACAGGAAGAAAGACCAGCAACCTTGAAGGTGGAAGTGCACAAAATAGTACAGACACACATTGTTTTTTTTGTACTTCACACATTTTGCATTTGACAAATTGGAGATTTGTGGAAACCCTGCGTCAAACAAGTCTATTGCTGTGATTTTTCCAAAAGGTATGCGCACTTCATGTCTCTCTGTCATAGTTTGGTAATTGTTGCAGTATTTCAGACTTTTCCATTATATTTTGGTGATCTGTGATCAGTGTATTTTGGACTTACTATTGTCATTGTTTTGGGGCACCATGAACTGTGCTCATATGAGATGGCAAACTTAATTGATAAATGCTGTGTGTGTTCTGACTGCTTTATCAACTAGCCTAATCTCTCTTCCTCTCCTTGGGCTTTCCTGTTCCCTGAGATAATAATTTAAGTGAATTAATAACCCCACAGTGGCCTCTAAGTGTTCAAGTGAAAGGAAGAGTCACACATATCTCACTTTAAAATCAAAAACTAAAAATAAGCTAAGTGAGGAAAGCATGATGAAAACTGAGACAGACAGAAAGCTAGGCCTCCTGCACCAAACAGCCAAGTTGTAAATGCAAAGGAAAAGTTCTTGAAGGAAATTAAAAGCACACAAATGCTGAGAAAGTAAAACAGCCTTATTGTGGATATGGAGAAAGTTTTAGCAGTCTGGATAGAAGACTAAAGCAGCCATAACACTGCCTTAAGCCAAAGCCTAATCGAGAGCAAGGCCCTAAATGTCTTCAATTCTATTAAGGCTCAGGGAGTTGAAGAAGCTGCAGAAGAAAAGTATGAAGCTAGCAGAGGTTGGTTCATGAAGTTTAAGAAAATATATTGTCTCCATAACATAAAAGTGCAAAGTGAAGCAGCAAGTGCAAATGTAGAAGCTACAGCAAGCTATGCAGGAAATGTAGCTAAGATAATCGATGAAGGTAGCTAACTAAACAACATATTTTCAATGTAGAAGAAATAGCCTTCTGTTGGAACAAGGTGCCATCTAGAACTTTCATATCTAGACAGGGGAAGTCAATGACTTCAAGCTTCAATGGACAAGCTGACTCTCTTGTTAGGAGATAATGTAGCTGGTGACTTTAAGTAGGAGCCAGTGCTCATTTACCAATTCAAAAATCTGAGGGCCCTTAAGAGTTATGCTAAATCTTCTCTGCCTGTGCTCTGTAAGTGGAAAAACAAAGCCTGTGTGACAGCGCATCTGTTTATAAAGGCATGAATTACTGAATATTTTAAGCCCTCTGTTGAGACCTACTACTCAGATAAAGGAATTCTTTTCAAGGTATTACTGCTCATTGAAAATGCACCTAGTTAGCCAAGAGCTTTGATGGTGATGTACAGGAAGATTAATGTTTTCATGTCTGCTAACAAAACATTCATTCTGCAACCATGGATCAAGGAGTAATTCTGACTTTCAAGTCTTACTGTTTAAGAAATACACTTCATAACGCTATAGCTTCCATAGATAGTGATTCCCCTGATGGATCTGAGGAAAGTAAACTGAAAAACTTCTGTAAAAGATTCACTATTCTAGATGCTATTAAAAACATTTGTGATGCATGGGAGGTTAACATATCAACATTAACAAGAGTTTGAAAGAAGTTGATTCCAACCATCATGGATGATTTTGTGGGGTTCAAGACTTCAATAGGAAGTAACTGCAGATGTGGTGATAATAATAGCAAGAGAACTAGAATTAGAAGTGGAGCCTGAAGATCTGCCTGAATTGCAGATGTGCTCCAATCTCATGATAAAACTTGAATGGATTTGGAGCTGCTGCTTATGAGCAAAGAAAATGCTTTCTTGAGATGGAATCTATCCCTATTAAAGATGCTATGAATATTGTTGAAATTATAAGAAAGGATTTCAGATTATTCCATGAACCTAGTTGGGAGTAGGGAAGTCCTCTTTTTTGGTAGAGACAGGGTCTCACCATGTTGTCTAGGCTGGTCTTGAACTCTTGGCTCCAAGTGATCCTCCCGCCTCAGCCTCTGAAAGTAATATTACAACTCTTTATAATTTGCAGTTTCTAATGTATGTGTTTAAAGCTTTTTTTTAAACTTTTTGAATAATCGTCAATTGAAGGGTGAGTTTTGAATTATAGATACACCAAGAGAACCCTGCACATCTTTCAGTACATCTATTTTATTCAGATTTTACTAGTTACATGGACTCATTTGTGTGTGTGTGTGTGTGTATTTAGTTCTATGCAGTTTTATCACTTGTGTAGATTCATGTGACCACTACTACAATCATACAGAAAAGTTCTGTCACAAGGATCCCATGTGATACCTAAAAGGCCTTTCATGATGTAGTAAGGAGCTTAGACTGTATTCTGTAGGTTGATGTCTTTCAAAGAATAGTCATCAGATCACCTGCAATAGAATCACCTAACGTGTTTGTTACATATGCTGATTTCAGGGTCCTACCCTAGGAAAATCATATTAGAATCTCTTGGATTGTGGCCCTGTGACCTGCATTTAAATAAACTCCCAAGGTACTCCTATACCATATCTTTGAAGAGGTGACATTAAGCTGAGATCTGAATGATGAGAAAACAGCCAACCATGCAAAGACGTGGGTGGGGCGAGGAGGTCTAGTTAAGTGCTGTTCAATAGAAATATAATGCAAGTTGTATCTATAAGCCACATTAAAAAAGTAAGAAAAAAGGTGAAATTAAGTTTATATATTTTACTTCTCTCAGCGTATTAAAAATATTTCAACATTAATTCATATAAAAATTGAGTCATTTTGCATTCTCTTTTTCTACTAAGTCTTCAAAATCCAGTGTATATTTTTTTACTTAGTGCACATTTCAATTCAGATTAGCTGCATTTCAAGTGCTCAACAACTATATCTGGCTGGTGGCTACCATATGTTAATAGGATAGCACGGATCTATACAAAGTGAACAGCCAGTGCAAAGGCCCTGAAGGAAATTCATACAGAGATGTTCATTTGGCATCTAGAAGTTGAAAATAATTGGTCTAGAGCTTTAGAATAAGTTCAAAACTAGATATATAGATTTAAAAATCATTGATATATAACAGAAGAGTTGTCACACAGAAAGAACATAGTTTTCAGTGGTTTTCATTGAGGATTTTCTAGAATCTCCTACAGAGTTTTTTCTACTACATAGTTGCACTCCCAAGAGAGCATGGAAGAATCTCATTTAGGAGGCAGGTGTCTCAGGATTAGTTGACACAGGCAGATATGGAGTTTCTCTATACTTGATTCTGATATGACTCCCCCCTACAGTCCTCACTCCTAGCCGAGAACCACTGGTTGAAAGAGAGATGAGGATAAAAGAGGCTAAGAAGGATAGAGGGAGATACAAGAACTACTAAAGAAGTTAAATAAGGTGGGGGGTAGTGATTCAACAATGAAGAAAGATGAGGGCAAGACATTTGCAAATTAAGAGATTTTTTGATGATCCTTGAGGTTGTAGTTTGAATAGAGTGGCTTAAACTGGGCTAAGATGGGTTCTGAAGATGGGCCAGAGGAGATAGAACCTCAGGCTAACTGCTTTTAAAGTTTGAGCTAGATTGGCTGCAAGAGGGACTTGCTGTGCCTTCCAAGCCAGAGTTCCTTAAATCCTTGCTTTTAACTTGGTTATGGTCTATGTTCCCTCTCTTATAGTTGTAGCTGCTGCATTTTAGTTAATTTTTGTATGTGTACGCACATCTTCATCTTTACCCTGACCACACTATTCCCTGGGGAATTTTTTTTAAAGTACTCATTCCTACACTCATCCCCTTCTCAGAATAAGTCAAAATTTCTAGGAGTGGGGCTGAGGCATCATTGTTTTCTAAAAGTTTCCCAAGTGATTCTAATGTGCTAGGGTAGAAAATTATTCATCTATAGCATCTCTAAGAAAATAAGTTTTCCTTATCTTCATGGTCCTGGAGTTTGACTCATTCATTGTCTAGCACATATTTAGCTTTCAGTAGATGTTGAGTCAATGAAAAATAATGGACAGTTACCAGGCAAGTTATTAAATACACTACTGTTTTGGAATTCTTACATATTAGTGTGAAACTATTACCCCAAATTTGTCTAAATAAAAGTATTGACAAAAAAACTCAGGTATAAAAATAGACTAAAAAAATCAGTGGGGCTATTCTTGTTCGGTACCTACATCACGAAATGTAGTATAGTTAACTGTTCCAATGAGTACAATATAAAGGAGAAATTATTGCATTCATGGTAGATGATTTTTGCCATCAATTTTAAAGTAATCATTTCCAAATTTTACAGAATTAACTACAACTCGATAAATTGTATTATACTTAAAATTCAATGCTGCAGCTATTGAAAACATCATACTTACAAGCATATTATAGTTCTTTGTCATAACTCTTTGAAATCAGTGTAGTAACTGACTATTCAACAGTTGCTTTTTACCACTTTTAGTGAGAGACAAACGGAAAGCAATAGACATAAAATGTTCTGCAAAAAGAAATAAGCTTGTAGTCACTAGCATAATGCATCATCACCATAATTAAATAGAATTCTCTATCCCAGATGTAGTTTATGGAAACCCTCAAGCCTAAGACCTGTTAACAAGTAGGTACCTCAATAAATGATAGTTCTCTTCTTTATGCTCCACTTGTAGCTAATTCTGTGCAAAGGAATTTAGAAGAGCAAGTTTATCTGACAGTTTAATCTTTTAAAAATGCATTAATGTTCCCACAGATGAAAAGAAGTAAAGAATCGATAATTAAAAATCATAATCAAGAGGAAATAAGTATTCTTCGTTGTTGGAAATGTAGAAAATGTATAGCAAGTTCTGGTTGTTTCATGGAATATCTTGAAAATCAAGTGATTAAGGTGAGTACTGCTAACTCCAGTCCTGAAGCAATTTCCTAGTCTAGGAATGCTGTGGGTGCACCCATACATGTGCACACTTCCTGCTCTATGCCTGATTAAGCTTTTACCTCATTTTACCTGACTCACTGAAAACATTCCAAAGTAGTATTCAAAAGACATCCCACCTTCCACAGTTACAATTAATTATACCTTTAGCTGCTAATGTTAACATGACCTTAAATTTCTAAGTTGAAGATAGTAGTCATTATATTTTACCCCTCTCATGAGTGTACCTTAATGATCACTGCACAATTCAGGATCCTCGCTAGAACTGGAAAAGCTGTTTTATATATATATAATTTTTAAATATTCAATATGGGCCTAAGAGAGGAGAGAAAGTTCATGTATAATATAAAATAACCCATAGGAAAACCTGAATAATATTTTTAAATGTTTGTTCATTCTGATAAAAATAAATGTTTTTGAAACAACAAAAACAAAAATCCCTAATATTCCCAATCTTCTCCTTCTTTGAGAGACACGCTCAGCCTCTATTTATTTATTTGCCACAGCCATACTTTCTGTTTTTCTTTTTTTGTCATACTTAATCATGATCATTCCCTCTCCATTCTAACAAATTAGCCAACCTGGATTGATAATGGTAGATAGTTTTGAATGGATATTTACCATATACCAGACACTTTTTAATCACTTGATGTAACCTTTTAATTGGGAAAAAAGTCCCCAAACTTTTCTTGCTAAGAGTATTTTATTAGATATAATGTACACTGAGTTTAAAAAAAATTAAGTGTACAACTTGATAAATTCTATCTGCTATGAATCAAATCAAGATGTACATTTGCATTGCCTCATAAATTTCTGTCTTGCCTTTTTCCAGACAGTGTTCTCCCTCTTGAAAGGCAACCGCTTTACTGATGTCTATCATCAAAGCCTAGTTTTGAATGTTCTTCACATTCTTTCCAGTGGAATAATATAGCACTGTTTTGTGCCTGACTTATTTTCCTCAGCATAAAGATTTAGAGATTCATTTATGTTTTGCATGTATCAGCAGTTTGTTCCTTTTATCATTGAGTATTGTGCCATTTATGAATATATCACAACTTGTTGATTTTTTTTCTGCTGATGGATATTTGTACTCATTCCAGTCTTAAGTTATGAATAAAACTGCTATCGAAATTTTTGTGAAAGTCTTTCTGTGGTTATGTTTTATTATTTCTTTTTGATATACATATATATAGGAGTGAATGTTTTGGTTGGATCATAGGGTAGGTATAGTGGAATTTTTTTTTCTTTTCTTTTTTTTTTTTTTTGAGGCAGGATCTCACTCTGTTGCCTAGGCTAGAGTGCAGTGGTGTCATCGTATCTCATTGCAGCCTCAGACCTTTGGGCTCAAGTGATCATCCTGCCTCTCAGCCTCCTGAGTAGCTGGGACTGCAGGTCTGCACCACCATGCCCAGCTAGTTTTTGTTCTTATTTTTTATAGAGATGGGTGTCTCACTGTTGCCAGGCTTGTTTCGAAATTCTGGACTCAAGTGAGCCTCCTGTCTTGGCCTTCCAACGTGCTAGGATTATAGGCGTGAGTCACCACATTTGGTGTAATTTAATATTGTTAGAAACTGCTAGTAGTTTTCCAAGGTAAATGTTCACTTCCAGTAGCAAAGTATGAGAATTTCAATTGCTATGCACCTTTGCCAACACTTACATTTTCAGTCTTTATACTTTTAGCTATTCTGATAGATGTATAGTGGCATATCACTATAGTTTTCATTTGTATTTCCTTGGTGACTAATGATGTTGATGTTATGTGCTTTATTGGTTAGGCACTGTTTTAAATGCTTTATTTATGTGATTTATTCTTTATGGTAATGCCTTGAGGAAGGTAATCTATCATCTCCATTTCACAGATAAGGAAACTGAGACACAGTAGGATAAGTACTTTGCCCAAGTTCACGCTGCCTCTAAGCAGTGCAGCTGTGACTGGACTGGGCAGTGAGGCTACAGAGCCAGTGCTCTTAACCTCCAAACTCACTTTGCTGCCTTTGGTCCTCCCTGAAGATATTATGCAATTTCACATCTTAGTAGAGTGGCTGATCCTTTTATCTACCTGGAGAACTCCCACTATTCATTCATTAAACAAATATTTAATGAGCAAGAACAGCTGAAGTATTGCTCTAGGATGTATTGGGATGGGAAAGAGTGATATAGGTTCAAAAACACATATTCCAGCCCTCTAGGAGCTCTAATTTGAAAATATGCCAGTGAGTGTGGCCTGATTTGATGAATACTGTAAGAGAGGAATGAAACAAACTTCTGCCTAGGCTGGTCACAGAAGGCTGCCTGGAAGAGGTAATGTGTGAACAGATATATATACACATATATTTTTTTTTACAGCTTTTTAAGTATAATTTGTAGACCATAAAAGTCACTCACTGTAAGAATACAATTTAATGGATTTTAGTTGTGCAACTACCACTACAATACAGTTTTGGAACATTTCCCTTACCCCATAAAGTTTCCTCATGCCCATTCGTCCTGCTCCCTTCCCCAGGCAACCACCAATCTTATTTCTATCTCTATAGATTTATATATAAAATAAAATATATGTGTATTAGTGTATACATAATATGTAAGCCATTGAAACTATGAAATGAAAATGTATAAAACTATGTATATAATTTTACATATAATATGTATACAATGGAATACTATTCAGCTTTAAGAAACAGTGGTGATATAGCATCTCTTGTATTTTCCTGGATAGATCTGGAACCCATTCTAAGTGATGTATCTCAAGAATGGAAAAACAAGCACCACATGTACTCACCAGTAATTTGGTATTAACAGATTAACACTTAAGTGGACATATAGGAATAACATTTATTGGGTGTTGGGCAGGTGGGAGGGGGAAGCAGGGGCATGGGCAATATACGTAACCTTAACATTTATACCCCGATAATATGCTAAAATAAAAAAAAGTATACATAACTTCAAATATAAATTATGTATAAAATTACATCTATATACTAAAATATGCAAAATAAAATATATACTAAAAACTATTAAGAATGACAAAGGAATAATTCAATATTATGGTTAAGTCTAGGTGGATGGAGTGACTCTGAGGGAGGCTTCTAAAATTAGTAATGTTAATGTTATATTTCTTTTTTTTTTAATTTTTTTTTTATTTTGGCATATTATGGGGGTACAGATTTTAAGGTTTCAATAAATGCCCATTTCCCCCCCTCCCCCCAAAAGTCTGAGTCTCCATCATGACCATCCCCCAGATGGTGCACATCTCACTCATTATGTATGTATATACCCACCTCCCTCCCCCAATGTTATATTTCTTAATCTGGGTAGTGAATATGTTGGTATTTGCTTTTCTTTAATCTTCTTTATAAAAACATGTTTTATATTTTATGAATTTATAAGCTTCATAAAAATATTAAAAATGAACATGAAAGGATCTTTTAATTAAAGGAGACCATAAAAAAATTATTGGAACCTAAAAGGATTCTAAATTTATCACCTATAAGATTATATAAATGTGTTACCTATTAAAGTGACTATATAGTTTATATATATATATAAAGTAAGTGTCTTTTTTTCTGAATTTTCAGTGAGTGAAATCACAGGTAGGTGTTGTTCTGGGATTTACTGCTTTTACTCAATATCACAATGTTTAAGTATAGTTTTAGTTTATTTTTACTTTTGTATACTATTCAGGTATATTAATCACACTGTGTAATTCATTCTACTATTGATAGACGTTTGAGTTGTATCTAGTTGTTTTGCTCTTATAAACAGTGCTGCTATGAGCTTTCTTGTACATATCTTTGCACATATGGGAGAGAGGATATTACTAGAAGTGGAGTTCCAGCATCCCAGGGTATGTGCATGTTCAACTTTATTGGGCAGTGCTAAGCTGTTTTCAAAAGATAGTCTTACCAGCACTTGTTGAGCATTGCTGTGATTCCACGTTTCACCAACATTTAACATCTCATTCTCAATGGCCATTTGTGTTTTCTGTGAAGCCTCTTTTTTTTCTTGCCTGTGTTTCTAGTATGTTGTTTCATTTTGATTTTTGGAGGTTCTTTAAGTATTCCAAATATTAAACCTTTATTGCTTATTGTATTGCAAATATCTTTTCCCAGTTTATATCTTCATGTTTTGTACTTTTTTTTTTTTAAAGAAACTCTTCTACAATGTGAGGGGAAGATTTTTTTTTTTTCCTTTCTTCTGTTGAATCCCAAAGTTGTGATAGGCAAGTTTCCTTGTGTGTTTTTCTTAGCACCAGGTTTATTTCTCATTCACCTTTATACTGAGGTTTTAACCTAAGTTCCTCTTTAGTTTCTTTCCACCCAAGCAAGCACTGAGGTTAATCTCCTGTCTTCCACATGTCGACATGAAATGGCCCTCAGAACAACAGAGTCAGGAAGCTGGGGAAACAACGTCCATAACCATAGGCTCCAGGGCCATTAACCATTGTCAGGAAATGGAATTCTCACCCAGCCTCTCAGCCCTTATAAAACTAGGAACTGGAAACTAGAATTGCTGTGATCTTTGCTGCAGAATAACCAAATACCTCCAAAAGCAAGCATGCTGTACGAAATAGCATGAATACAGTCATTACTTCTGTTTTCGTAATATTGAGCAGGTACATCAGGTTGGTTGAAGCTAAGTTGATGTGGAACTTGAGCTGTAAGGGTGTCTAGGACATTTGAGCTTTAGTTTTCTAGCCACTGGCACACAGGAAGGCATGAGAACAGGAAATTTAGCATGGAGTTTTGAGACACTCTGCAGTATCCACAGGGAGAAAAGGGGACCTCTACCTTGCCTTCAGGCCTGAGATACATGAAATATGGACAAGAACCAAAAGCAAAATAACAAAAACCCTAAAAATGTAAAAATAAAATAATAGCAATAGTCTCCATTTGTGCAATCTGTGGTGGGGAGTGGTGTCCTTAGTTTTATTACAGATTTAGACATGTCATTTGGAC